AAAAAAAAAAAAAAAAAAAAAAAAAAAAAAAAAGCCCAAACTCCCCACATGGAGTCCACACAAAGGCAGACTCAAGACTAAGCAGAGAAAGAAACATCCATCATCTGCCAGCTACCCCACCTCTATCAAATCTAACCCAGCAGCACTAGAGACCCCAGTCCAGAGCCTAACAGCCAGCCTTCCCCAGGCCCCAGAGATCCCAGGCCAGAGCCTAACAGCTAGCCTTCCCCAGACCCCATCCTAAAGGATCTGAAAGACCAGGACATTATTGAACAATGTGAATTTCTTCATTCTGTGACCAAAATCGTAACAGAAACAATGAACAGGAGGATTTATTTGGGATCATGGTTTAGGAGGTGTGGTGGGAACATGGGGCAGTGGCTAGTCACACGAGGCAGATCAAGCTAGCAAGAAGTAGGGGAAGATATGATCCTCAAAGGTCCACTCTCAGTGACCACCATCCCACCTCCTAAAGGTTCCACAGCCTCCCAAAATAGTTCACCAGTTGGAGAAAGCATCCAAGACATGAACCTGTGAAGGGCGGTTCAGGTTCACACACTCATACACAACAGACAGCAGAGTCTAGGGTGACCATGCATCATGAGAATTTCTTCCATGGGAGACATAAACAAATATCTATCCCCTCCTTATAATGCCTCAATAACGAACAAAGTATAAATCCACCAAAGTCCACCATGAAGAGCCACTGAGTTTAGTGGGTTTACTTCCAGAGCATGGAAATAGGGTTACTTCCAGAATTATGTGTAACCCCAAAGTGACCACACCACCAGAAAGTCCCACACCAACACAGACGACAGTTTCCCTGTAGCTGCATAGATGGAGCCACCCCTACCCCTTACCAACCTTCCACAGTCTATACAATCTAGCACCACCTGAGCCCATGGTGCCACAGGCAGTTAGGGGAGAATCACCTATGTCCAGGTATAGGAGAGAGAAGCTGGACTCCCCACCTCCTCCTACATAGTTAACAGGCAGGATATCAGGGGTCTCCTGCAAGTAGTCACAGCTTCTCTGATGCTCAGGAAAGAGCACTCTACACACCACATCTCACCATTAACATCTTTTTTCTAATATAGTTATTCATAGTGACCCTTTTTTCTCCATCAACATGTTCTAATTTGGGTGATAAATTATATGGTCATCTTAGCTGGGCATTGGTGGTGCACGCCTTTAATCCCAGCACTTGGGAGGCAGAGGCAGAGGCAGGCGGATCTCTGTGAGTTTGAGACCAGCCTGGTCTACAAGAGCTAGTTCCAGGACAGCCTCCAAAGCCACAGAGAGACCCTGTCTTGAAAAAACCAAAAAAAAAAAAATGTCAAAAAGACAAGACACATGGAGATAAGAGTGTCGAGAGAAAGTACCCGCCTTGTTTGCCTATGTTCCGCTCTTGGTCAAATGTCACTTTTTAAAATTATTTTTTAATGTGTAGAGATGTTTTGCCTGCACATATGTCCATGCACCACTTGCATGCCTGGTGCCCCCAAAAGCCAGAAAAGAGAATTGGATCCCCTAGAACTGATGTTACAGATGGTTGTGAGCCACCATGTGGACACTAGGAACCAAACCTTAGTACTCGGGAAGAGCAGCCAGTACTCTAACTGCTGAACTATCTCACCGGCCCCCAAATGTCACTTCTTAGGAGACACCTTTTCTTCCACCTCAGCCTCCCTCTCACATCACACCAAACACCCCAAGTGGATGGAGCACACACCTCTCAGTTGCTCTAAGAAACCCTGAAGGAGTAGGTGGAGGTCTCTCACTAACCATGTGAACTTGGATAGCTAATGCACCTCTCTAGTCTTCTTTAGTCCATGTGTAAAGTTTATAATTAAAATACTGTGATCGGGTTGGAGAGATGGCTCAGGGGTTAAAAGCACTGTCTGTTCTTCCAGAAATTCTGAGTTCAATTTCCAGCAACCACATGGTGGCTCACAACCACCAGCGATGAGATCTGGTGCCCTCTTCAGGCCTGCAGGGATACATGCAGGTGGAATACTGTATACATCATAAATAAATCTTTTAAAAAATAAATAAAATATTGTAATCAGTGCTGGATGTGGTGACACACTCCTTTGAGGCATAATTAGATGGATCTCTGTGAGTAGGAGGCAATCTTGGTCTACATAGCAAATTCTGGGCTAGCCAGAGATACATAGAGACTCTGCCTAACACACATATATACATACATACATGCATACATACATAAATGCTATAGTCTTGGGGATAATTGAAACACAAGATTTTTTTTTTTTTGGTTTTCCTGTTTAGCTTTGGAGCCTATCCTGGCACTCGCTCTGGAGACCAGGCTGGCCTCGAACTCACAGAGATCTGTTTGCCTCTGCCTCCCCAGTGTTGGGATTAAAGGTATGCGCCACCAATGCCCAGCAAAACACAAGATTTTATCACATAAATCTCTGTGCTAACCTTAGTCATATGAGCCATACTGAGAAGTTCGTTACTCAATTATCTAAGTAGATTTTGTGCCTTTCCAAATTAGACAGATTGTGAAAACTCTTTAGTGAGAAAGGCCCCACTTCCCAACTTCACACTTTCTCACAAGAATGTAAACTTTGAGCTGGGTGATGGTGTCACATGCCTTTATCCTAGCACTCAGGAGGCAGGGGCAGGTGAATCTCTGAGGCCAGCCTGGTCTACAAAGTGAGTTCCAGGGCTACACAGAGAAACACTGTTTTGAAAAGAAAAAAAAAAAAAAAACAAGCAAAAAAGAATGTACTTTGTTTTGAGAACAGGTCTTATATAGTCCAAACTGGCCTTGAACTTCAGGCTGAAAGTGACTTTTTGTTTTGTTTCTGGAGTTCTTAATCATCTGATCCTCCTGTCTCTGCTTCCCCAGGTGCTGAGATTACAGGTACATGCCTACATACCTGGTTAACACAGTGCTGGGGATTGAACCCAGGGCCTTGTGCATGCTAAGCAAGCTCTCTACCAACTGAACCACACCCCCAGGGAAGAATGTGAGGTGCTTAGGGCAATCTTTTTTGTTGTTTTATCTCTAAAAGCAGGTCCTAAAGGTCTTAGGTTCACAAAACACTTCTTGGGCACACTCTACGACAATGCCACTGCACAAGAGTGACACAAAACAGCAGACTCAGAGTCTGGAGCACTGTGAGAGAAGTCACATGCTGAGCTGAGAATGAGGAAGGAACTTCCACATCCTCCTCCATCTGGACAGAGCAGAACATCTGGGCCTGAACAGGGGAAAGATGATTAAACTCTGACACAGTAGAATCTGCAGCAGATGGCCTCTGGGATCCACAGCAAAAAGGGAAGGAAAAAAAAAAAAAAAAAAAAAAAAAAAAAAACACAAAAACAGGAGCGATATGATGGAAGTTCAGCAAAGATACATGTCTCCTTATATTTTATGACACATCTCAATTTTATATTGATTTGGGGTCTTGCTATGGAGCCTAGGCTAGCTTCAGGTTTGCAACAATCCTTGTGCCTCAGGTTCTCAGGTGCTGGGAGTTCAAGGTTAGCCTGGGCAATTTAGTGAGACCCTATTTCAAAAATTTTTTAAACATTTTGGTGTAAGATGGCTCAGTTTTCAAAGACAGTGCCTTTTTCTCAGAACCTTCTCCAACTTCACCAGCTCCTGTCTGGCATTATGATCCATCCTCCTGCCTCAATTTCAGACTAGAGGGATCCCAGGATGCACTGCCATTTCTGGCTAGGAGCCAACTCTTAAAGGCATATGGTGTGGTAGGCCCAACCTTCAGGGCAGAAAGAACAGCAAGTGTAGGACCTGCTGAGAGGGAAATGAGAGCAGGCCACGGTGACCAGAGCAGAGGTTGTACAGAATAATAGGCATCGAAGCGAGAAGGCAGCCAGGGATGTCAGGCCACAGAAAGCTAGTCTACTTTATGTTATGCTTCCCTAGGGAGGTGCTAATTGTGTGGGAAGACGTTTGACCACGCTGAGGAGCAACCCACCAGGAGTATGAATAGATCCAAGCTATGACGGGAGATGGAACTCAAGATGTGTCTGAAATTAAAATAGGCTAGTCATGAAACGAAAGAATATTTATTTATTTATTTATTTATTTATTTATTTATTTTGGTTTTTTGAGGCAGGGTTTCTCTGTGTAGCCCTGACTGTCCTGGAACTCGCTCTGTAGACCAGGCTGGCCTCTGCCTCGTGTGTGCTGCGATTACAGGCGTGCGCCACCACCGCCGGGCCTATTTTGTCTTACTTTCAATGAGCAAACAGAAATCTCCGTTGAAAAATGAGGCTTAAGATCTGTGGAACAAGGGTTTGAGCCCTGGCGGCCATCGCGAAGTTCTAGCAGCCCGGACCACGGTCTCTCGCCACCCCTCACCCTGCAGACAACCGGCACAGGGAACGAGCGAGGACACCTCCAGCGGAGGGCGGTTCAACCCGACCAAAGCCAGACAGGAGCCAGCAAGAGCCGCGGGGCATTGTGGGAGGCAAAGGGGCCGAGGCAGCCGCGAAGCATTGTGGGACACCGCGGGGCCGACTCCTGCTCCCCGCCCCAGCTTCCCTCGCACCGCGCGCCGCCACGTTTCAGTTCTGAATCGCTCGAGGCGTCCGCGGATGCCGCTGACGTAACCAGCCCCACTCCTGTCTCTCACCTCAGAGAATAATGAGGACTAAGCCAGTGGCCGTGACAAACTTCCGGTTGTGTCTTCGCTTTACGGCCCGACGTTTTTCCGCTGACTAAAAAGGAAGTGGTAGCGCCGTTTACGACAGCGCCGGTCGCGGTTTACGGCGCCGGCTCTTGCGCGCGCAACTTTCCTGCTGTCTTGGTTCCTCGGAGAATCGAGAATATCGCAGTCTCTGACCCGTGCCATCTCTCGCCATCCGGGCCTGCGGAGCCCACTGCAGGTGAGCGGCTTGCTTTGCAGAGACCTGTGGACCTCGCGAGCCACCCTGGGCTAGGCCTGGCTTCGGGGGCCTCCCGGAAGAGCCTTCCTTTACGTCCTCTCCTGTCGTCGCCCCAGGGCGGGGCGGGAATCTGCCTTGGGTGGTCCCAGGCGCGACCCTGTTAGTGCAGGACACCCCACACGGTGTGGATCCCTCACCCGATGCTAAGCCCAGAGCCGTGGGGACGAAGTGTCCTCCTCCGGGGGCTTCGAACAGTTTCCGTCTCTGCTCCGAAGTGGGCGACTGAGAGGAGTGTGCTCCACCCTGGTGTGAAACCGAGCCCAGGACTTCGTGGCTCTTGTCTGTAGTGTCCACAGTGATCCGCACCGTATTGTGGTTAGTACAGCTGTCGCATCGTTTTAGTTTTCCCCTATCAGTGACCTTCTGGTTCTCATGTGCGGAAGCCAAAGGACTCCAAACCCCTGCCCATCCGGGGAGATGATGCATGTCAAGTCTTGGACTATCTTGAACTTGTGACAACTAAAATTACAGTTGCTTTTGAGGTGGTATTGTGAGTATGTCTTAAAGGCCCAGGTCGTCAGGCTGTCCCTAACTGCAATGTAGCCAAAGAAGGCCAGGCTTAGGCAGACAGCCTTGGAAACTGCCTTTGAGATGATGGGCAGATGGACTGCTTAAGTTATGAGAGCCAACTTTCTCAGAGATGATGGTTTGAGGAAGCAGTGGTGCCTATCTATCCAGCACAGTTCCAATACTTTGCTGGGGGCTCTTATTTCATGTGAGCTGTTCAAAGGCCACACGCTCCCCCATGTTCTCTTCCTACATACAGCTTAGCATAAGTTCTTATTTGGGGATGCAGGTCCCAAGTTTATTCCTTGTTGCTGTCACCTAAATATCTTAAGCTTTCCTATGGTGGAGCAAGGAGGAGAGATTACTAAACTCTCTGGACATTGTCAGAAGGTAAGACTTAGTCTAGGCTTAGAGACGTTGGGTATTGGGTGCCCAGGTGAGAGTGTTTTTGAGGGAACTCATCTCACTTTTATCATACTTCATGAATCTGAGGTAGCTCTGTCTTATGTTATTCTAAGAAAGAAAAGACAAGATGTGACACCCATCAAGCATAAGGCATGGCCTCATTTCAAAGATAGTCACCAAAAAAGAGCAAGTCCTAGAATTAATGAGACACAAGAAAATGTGGCTGGTGTCGACAATGTTCTGAGTTTTAAGTGTTCTTAGAGTGGTTTACAAGAAAGCTGTCCCTGCTGCTCCAGAGCCCAGGGCTCTGCGCTTTGTGTGTGCCTCTGTGGTGCAGCTTCAGTGGATCACGGAGTGTTTGGGACTTAGTGGCCTTTCCTTATAAAGCTGTTCACAATACTTGTGTTTTAAGGTTTTAGACAATGGCGAAGTTCATGACTCCTGTGATCCAGGACAACCCTTCCGGCTGGGGCCCCTGTGCAGTTCCTGAACAGTTTCGGGATATGCCCTACCAGCCTTTCAGCAAAGGAGATCGGCTGGGGAAGGTATTGGGTCCCTTCAGCTGGGGTAGCTACTCCACAGCTCCTCACATCCTTTTTGCTCTCTTGGTGGCTATGCTTCCTTTGGGGACACCAGCCAAAGGCCAGAGCGGGTAGCTGATGCAGAAGCATCAGAGGTGAAGCTGATGACGTGTTCACTCAGCCTCCCTTGCTATCTTGAGTTTCTGAGTCAGCAGAAGCCTGCTCACCTGACCTCTTGTCTTCATCACACCTAACAGGTTGCAGACTGGACGGGGGCCACGTACCAAGACAAGAGGTACACAAGTAAGTATTCTTCAGTGAACTATCCACATTTAGGCCTTGGGAAGATTGTTGCTTTGTTCAGTGAGCTCCACACTGAAAAGGAATGCTGATGATAGTTATTGGGGTATATTTTAAATGTGTGCCCTAATATTGGTTTTGGAAATAGTCCCAGAAGTTAAATTGTTAATTATTATAGGGGTGACAGCCAGACTCCTAGACATGTTGAGTGTGCTGCCGTTTGCATTTATTGCTTGGGACTTCCTGAGGCCATCAGTCAGTGGGCTGCCCCGGTTTTAAGGTTCTGGTAAAGGAACGTGCTTTTTTTTGCACATTAAGAGATTGGGGTGGGGAGAGATGCAGAAGAGGAAGAGAGAGAGTAAAGGGAGAATTACGGGTCAACCATTGGAAACAGAGCGCAGAAAGTGCTTTTCTTGGTGCCAGTTAGATGGTTGGAAGTAACTTCGGGAATACTAAGTTAAGGTGGATGAGGTCAGAAAGAAAGTTTATCATGGTCGATGATAGTGTCCATGGCTCCTGTGATGGCAATGGTGGTACACTCCAGATTCTTAATTGTCCAAGGCAGAGGTGAAGTGGGTTAACTTGAGATGCTTGGGCTCTCTTGGTAAGTTCTTTAGACTCAAGCTCTTAAAACTTAAATGTGTGTATGAATCACCTGGGATCATGTTTAAATACAGGTTCCCATCTGTCAGGTCTGGACAGGGGCAGTAAGTCTGCACACCTCACAAGCTCTTGGCTGTGGTCCCCAAAAGTGCTGCAGGTCCCAAAACCACGCTTGAGAGAGCAAGGCTCAAGACTGCCATGTGTAGCCTTTAGGGAGCACTTAGCACACACTGTCACCTTTGCCTGCAGACAAGTACTCCTCTCAGTTTGGTGGGGGAAGTCAGTATGCATATTTCCATGAGGAGGATGAGACGAGCTTCCAGCTAGTGGACACGGCGCGCACACAGAAGACTGCCTACCAGCGGAACCGGATGAGATTCGCACAGGTAGGCCACGGGCTGGCAGCCTAAAGTGCCTTGGAGGAGCTCTTACTGTGAGAATTTCTGCTGCTTAGCAACTGTCTTGGAAACACCAATGAGACAGGAAATTGCAGGCCTCTGTCCAATCCCAAGTGGCCATTCAGTGACTGGGTTTTAACAGAATAACTTTTCCAAGGATGTTTTGAAGGACTTTAGATTTCTGTTTACAGTAGGTCAGACATCACACAGCTGTGCTAGGAACCTATTTTCTCACTTAATTGCAACATACAGGCTTTGTTAATTAGATGGTTTGGTTGGGTACTACATTAAGATGCAAACTTAGCAACTCCAGTAAAACCAGTAAACCTACATTAGTGGAAATGAGTCCAAGCTAACACAAGTGCTTCTCCCCAAATACTGTGGAAGCTATAGAGTAAAAGAACAGAGATGAGAAACTGGGGACTTCACACCCTAGATTTGCTCTCAAGATACCAATAAGCTATGACTCTTAAGAGGGTAACACGGGTCTCTTCCTGCTTCCAAGCGGAACCTCCGTAGAGACAAAGATCGCCGGAACATGGTGCAGTTCAACCTACAGACCCTGCCCAAGAGTGCCAAGCAGAAAGAGAGGTAAGCGTCCCTTCCTGCCAGGTCAAAGCTGTGTTCCCAAATGGACTGTATTCAGAAGTCAAGGAGCCAGGACAGGGATTGGCTGTCTTTCACTATTGGAAAAGAAACCACACCCTAGCCAGGATTGCCAGTAACTGGGCTGAATGCACCCCTACATTTGGTTCTGGGGGGTAGTGTGCCTCTGCTCTCACCCCAGTGTGTGCCAGCATGGTCTCTTCATCCCTAAGCCAGCATTTTCTTTCCTGGTAGCAGCCAGGAAAGATACTTCAATTCAACTAGAAGAAGCTACTGAAAACACAGCATTCTTTCTGTCTTTTCAGAGAACGAATTCGCTTGCAGAAAAAATTCCAGAAGCAATTTGGAGTGAGACAGAAATGGGACCAGAAGTCACAGGTAGTGTGTCCATACCAGAATTCTGTTAGGAATTGGGTGGGTTTGCTTTCTTTTTATCCTTAGAGATAGCAGCCATGAAGTGCAGTTATGTGGTCTCTAGTGTATGGTTACTGTGGACAGCTTTAGACCTTCATCCCTCTTACAAAGAAACCTTGTGCCCGAAGGCATGTCCTGTCCTCCCTAGTCCTAGCCAGCACTGCTCTTTGCTGACTGTGAATTTCCCTGATGTGTGCATTTCATGTAAACAAAATCAAAATCTGTGCCCTTTGTTTAGCATGGCATTTTTGGTTTTTCAAGACAGAGTTTCTCTGTATAGCTTTGGAGCCTGTCCTGGAACTGGCTCTTGTAGACCAGGCTAGTCTCGAACTCAGAGATCTGCCTCCCAAGTGCTGGGATTAAAGGCAAGTGCCACCACCACCCAGCTAGTGTGATATTTTTAAGGTATATGCCCTGTTGCAGCCTGTACTAGTGCAGTCTTTTCATTTTTTCCTTCTTCTCTGTTAAGGATTGTTTCCGGGTGCCCTCAAAGAAGCCAAGATTTCTTTTGCATAAAATGGTGTAGCATTTGCAACTATCATATGTGCATCTCCTCATGGACCTTAACTCACCTCGGGTTATTTATATGGGTTGAAAGTATCACTTTTAATCTCAAGTGGTCCTCCTGCCTCAGCCCCCCAGTAGGACTTTCAGCATGCTGAATACCTGGAATATTTTCAGTTCACACATGACCCTGGGATACAGAACCCACAAGTATAAAACCTGCAGATATGGAAAACCAGCTGTACTTCTTATTGCCAAATAGCATTTCTATGTATGGATTGCCACATTTCCTTCAGCCATTCACCTTTCCCCTTTGCACTGTTAGGGAATAATTACCACCTTTGTAAAAGCTATGAGAATAGCAGGCATGAGCAACAGTGGAGTTTGGGCTAGGAGTATAGCCTAGCAGTGAACTGGCTGCCTTGCCACAAAAACATGGATTCATTCCCCAGTGCTGCGAAGGGGAAATGATGTTAAGACATTACACTTTGGTGAAAATTTGGTGCTTGTTGTGTCAAAAATACGTAATTAATACCCTGAGAGTTCCCATGTTTTGTCCCTGATCCCTTCAATGAGCTTCTACAAGTCACAGATGCTGTCTAAAAAAAAAAACCAAAGCCAGGACCACATAGCCTCAATCCCAGCACTCAGGAGTTCAAGGCCAGCCTGGTCTACAGAGTGAGTTCCAAGACAGCCAGTACTACACAGAGAAACCTTAGGTTATGAATATCTTAACCTGTTTTATCTGCAGAAACCCCGAGACTCTTCAGTTGAAGTTCGCAGTGACTGGGAGGTGAAGGAGGAGATGGATTTTCCTCAACTGATGAAAATGCGCTACTTGGAAGTGTCGGAGCCTCAAGACATGTGAGTAGCTTCTTCACTGCTGCCCACCGCACTCGGGCATATGGACCAGCTGGGGTCTATGTCTCCTTAAGCCCTAGCAACTCCAAAGCAGATTTGTCCCAGTTTCTCTCCACCCTTGGTATCTGCACAGAAGCACAGTAGGTCAGTCTCTGAGCACTTTGGGCTAAAGTAGCATGACAGACCTTCAGGAAGCTTCATATTGTGCATCCTCGTACACAGAGCAGGGGTGAGGCACTAAGGCAGTGGGGAGCTGGAGGACCACCCACCAAGGTGCCTGTAACTGACTGTTCCAGGGGAGGGTGGCTAAAGGGGAAGGCCTGTTTCCCTGTGTTCTGGAGCTGGGACAGGAAAACAGCTGGCAGTGAAGATTTGCCTCCTTTCCGAGGAGATTGATTCCATCCCTTTCATACGTATTAGACTTCTGGGTAAAGTTTCTTTCTGGGACAAAGCACTCATGTAGCTGGGTCAGCTCTCCTTCGTCTGCCTCCCTGATGCTGGGATTACAGTTGTGTACCGCTGTATTTAGTAGATAAGACTTGTGATTCACGGCATAAGAGAGGAGTGGGGAGGATCTCTCTGGCTTCCCGTTCCCCTCTTCCCTCAGCGAGTGCTGTGGCGCACTGGAGTACTATGACAAAGCCTTTGACCGCATCACCACGCGGAGCGAGAAGCCTCTGCGGAGCATCAAGCGCATCTTCCACACCGTTACCACCACAGACGACCCTGTCATCCGGAAGGTGTGCACCCTTTGCCCATTTTTAGGAATGTTGCTGAGGCCCAGAAAGAACAGGGTGTGAGATATGGACATGTCCCCTCAGTAGTCACGGGGTTGATTCAGGACCACCCCATGAATACCAAAACTCATGGGTGCTTCTTTATGACTGATGTGGACTGTCAGTCCTGGCAATCTTCCATGTTTCAGATCTTTCTGGATTGCTCAGGACGCCTAAGACATAAGCAGTTGTTATTCTGTTGTTTGGGGAACTTGACAGAAAGAGCATGTGCATGTTGATTAGACATGGTCTTTTTTGTTCTCCTGAACATTTGGTGAATTGACTGGTGAAGACTTCACAGAAACAGCTGACTGTGTACATAGTCCAGCCCTTAGATAAAATTATTCTGGATCAGACTTAGAATTTGATGGAAGCGGAGACTTGTTGCTGGGTGGATATAAATGTGGTAAGCCAAAGCATGCTCAGACCCCAGCTTTGCCAGGCAGACCGTATCGCACTAGAGTTTTAGCTTTCTCACCTGCAAAGACAGAAACTAGAAACTAGTGAGCTGAGTGTGGTGTATGCTTCCACAACAGTGACGGAGCAGCCATGCCAGCCAGTTTGCTTCAGCCTTCTTGGGTGACTGGGGAAGTCTTTTCCCTCCCTGGTGACCTCAGCATCCTCACTTCACTTTCTCTCTCCCTCTCTGCCTCCTTGCAGCTGGCAAAAACGCAGGGCAATGTGTTTGCCACTGATGCCATCCTAGCCACACTGATGAGCTGCACACGCTCTGTGTACTCCTGGGACATTGTAGTGCAGAGAGTCGGGTCTAAACTCTTCTTTGACAAGAGGGACAACTCTGACTTCGGTAAGTAGCCTGACTGGGGAGCAGCTCGGGGCACTGGTATTATTGGTCTTGAATATTGCTTGGTCCTGAGAATGGGTCATGTGTCAATCCCTCCCATCCTCCTGGAGTCCAAGGGAAGAGACCACTTCAGTGCTTCCGTGGGCTTCGGCTCTGAGTCCTCACACCACCACTGTGGCTGTGTGTTGTTCACTTGCACAAAACTTTCCTGGCCTTTTGTTTTGGTTTTTTGTTTTTTGCTTCTGCATTCATATACTATAAAGAAAAATATATGCGTGTATTTTATGACACATGTATATACACACCATTAATGAATCACTTGCAAACTGACAGTATGAAAACAAAGCCATCTGATTGTGTTTGAGTTGTGAGCCTCATTTGTTAAAATGCCAACAGATGCGTTCTCTTGAGGAATCTAGAAGGAATGGCTTCTTACTGTGTGATTGGTGGTGGTAGGTCAAATGGAAGGTCATGCAAGAGGCACACACTCTACCCACACATGCCACACATACTCTGGGGAGAGACCCTATTAGCAGAATACAGTTCTTTGGAGATGGCACCCTATAGTCTGGGTCTCTACATCTCCCCATGCTGCTTTGCACACTGCCAGTGGCTCTTGGCAATGTGAGCAGCTGACCATCCATGCTTGGGCTTTTATAGACCTCCTGACTGTGAGTGAGACAGCCAATGAGCCCCCTCAAGATGAAGGCAATTCCTTCAACTCACCCCGCAACCTGGCCATGGAGGCCACCTACATCAACCACAACTTCTCCCAGCAGTGCCTGAGAATGGTGAGCACACAGGAGCGGGTGGGGAACACCGACTTGCTGATTTGGGTGATTTAGGGGGCTGCTGCTGAGCCTCTGCTTTGCACTAGACTGTGGTGTGGTGTTGGCCAGGAACGGCCTCTCCTGGTGGCAGAGGATCCAAGCCACTGACAGGTCTGTGTGCTTGGACATATTTCCTCTCTGTAAAGTTACAATATTAATACTTGTCTCACACAGATGAGCTGTGGAAATGCCTTTGGCTCAAATGCCATTTTTTGCCTTGAGGATATGATATTGAACAAATTGTCCACTTTTCACTGTGATGAAGGAGGAAGTATGAAGGCCATTACTGCCCTGTTAGGTTAGCTGTCTGTCTGTGGTGAAGAAGGAAACAGGGAGGGGCATTCAGTGGGATGTGTTGGGTTTAGTCCTTCGCACAAGTAAGCCCAGATCCTCAAGGACATAAAGCAGTGCTGGGTCTGCTGACTTGACATCAACACCATCTCCTGAAAGCTTTGTCACTTCTGCAGGGGAGAGAAAGATATAATTTCCCCAACCCAAACCCATTTGTGGAGGATGACATGGATAAGAATGAGATCGCCTCTGTTGCTTACCGGTATGTCAGCTGTGATGGGGGTGTGCCCAGATTGGAGCACAGACCCTGTCCTGTGCTGTCTGGAATGGTCCATCTAAAGCAGCAGATGTTACAGAGAAAGAATCTTGCTTTCCTTGTAGTTACCGCAGGTGGAAACTTGGAGATGACATTGACCTTATCGTCCGCTGTGAACATGATGGCGTCATGACTGGAGCCACTGGGGAAGTGTCCTTCATCAACATCAAAACACTCAATGAGTGGGACTCCAGGGTGAGGCACCATTGCAGCTGTCTTCCCTGTTGTGTGTAGTGGGATTGGCTGGAGTGAGGTGACCAACCTTTAAGTGCTCACAGAGCCAACGTGGATGGGGGCTGCAGTTTCTTTATCCACATAAGTCCCTGCTGACAGAGAACAGTCAAGTTAAGGGGTTTCTGCTTTTGGCGCCTTTGTCTATTCATTCTGGGCACCCATTGGCTCCAGCACTCTACACATCTGGTCTTGATCTCATCTTGTCTTGGAAAGCCCAGTCACTCTCTCTGACGTCTTTCTGTATATGCTCAGCCTCACTGCCACCTTGTGATCCCTTTGTCCAGCTCTGCCACTACTAACCTCAAAAGACTTAAGATAGCGGTTCTCAACCTATGGGTTGTGACCCCTTTGGAGGGTTGCATCAGATATCTACATTATAATTCATAACAGCAAAATTACAGTTATGAAGTAGCAGTGAAATAATTTTGTTGTTGGGGGCCACCACAACATGAATATTAGAGGGAGCAGCAGCATTAGGGAGGTTGAGAGCCTATGCTCTAAGAGCTGGGCAAAACATGAGTATACACACGCTCTCCTCTTTCCATTGTACAGCTGTGGGCAGTCCACCAGGATAATCAGGTCAGGTGTCATTCTTTCTCCCTTGCTTTATGTGTGGCACTCTGTTGAAGTTAAGGGCAGGGCCATTGCCTCTGTACAAGATAAAGAATACTGACAAGGACAATTCTGGGGCCCAGCCAGCCTGAGATGGTTAGCTTGCCATCAAAATGTGGCTCAGAAATCCATCCTCTGGTGGGGCCAGTGGCCTTCTCCCAGACTTCTACTGTAGCATCTGTCTTTCCTCATATTTGTGCAGTTCTGAAATCACACACCGCTACCCTACTCACAAGTGAGGTTGGAGCCTTGGGGTAAATCCCCAAGCAGCTCTTGTCCCAGAGTACCTTGTACTTCAAAAACACATGAAAAGAAACTTATGACCTAAAACAGCACCTATAATGGTGGGCAGATAGTTTCATTCTCTGTTGAGGTATTGTGGGTGGCAGTGACTATGTCCCTAGAACTGAGTGGGTTCCAGAAGAATGTCTGCTGTGAGTTGAGAAGTCAGTTCCTTGCAATGGTACAGCTGTGGTCCCTGTTCCTTGTCAGCACTCAGGTGCTCCTTTCTCCATTTGGGAGTCTGCTGGGGCACTCTTTGTCCTTGTGCCTGGCATTTGACTTCTGTCTGACTTCCGTATACTCTGTTCAATTCATCTCTGCCTGTGATTGTCCCCAGGATGCTGGCAGGGTTCTTCAATGTCATGGCACTCTCTAGGGGCTACAGCATATTTTCAAGTTTTAAGGGAAATAGAATCTGTCAGATACTAATCTCTTGTGGGAACCTCCCTGCCCTGTGACCTTGGACTGCCCCATTCCCCACATCTGGAAGTCTATGCATAGGAAGCATCAGGTGCTGGGCTCCTGCCCTCAACCCACCTGAGTCTCACCCACCTGCCCCTCAGATCCCAAACTTCCTTCTCCATATGTTCACCATGGCACGATGTAAAGCCCCGTTGCACCACACAGCACCCTTGTCATTGAGTTTTGCCTTCTCCGTTACCCGCAGGTTGGGTGGATATGTACAGCGATGGTCGTGTCTTTGTCTCTTACATGATAATTGGTCTACGTCTGACTCAGGCATACTTTTCACTTCCTAGTGGGCTCCTGTCTTCAGAAGAGGCCCTGGGGCCTTGTGGCAGGTGCCTCTCACCCAGTAACCATCTTTCCTTCTGCAGCATTGTAATGGCGTTGACTGGAGACAGAAGTTAGACTCTCAGCGTGGGGCTGTCATCGCCACTGAGCTGAAGAACAACAGCTACAAGTTAGCGCGGTGGACCTGCTGTGCTTTGCTAGCCGGATCTGAGTACTTGAAGCTCGGGTGAGACTTCTGCCGGTGCTGGGGCAGGCCCGGGGCAAAGGCTGCTTGCCTCCTTTCCTTTGGGAAAAGCAGCAAACCAGGCATTGCCATCTCTATACTGCCCAGTATGACCACCCATCCTCTTCCCCCACAGATATGTGTCCCGGTACCACGTAAAGGACTCCTCACGCCATGTCATCCTGGGCACCCAGCAGTTTAAGCCCAATGAGTTTGCCAGCCAGATCAACCTGAGTGTAGAGAATGCCTGGGGCATCCTACGCTGTGTCATTGACATCTGCATGAAGCTGGAGGAGGGCAAGTACCTCATCCTCAAAGATCCCAACAAGCAAGTCATCCGCGTCTACAGCTTGCCTGATGGCACCTTCAGCTCTGAGGAAGACGAAGAGGATGAGGAAGAAGAGGAGGAGGAAGAGGAAGGTGGGTAGAGTGGGCCTCTGAGGGCTGATGAGGGAGCCAGGCTAGTGCCGTGGTCACCTTCACCTTGGCAGCACATTGTGGGGTGGCACTCCCAGTCCCCAAAGGAGACTAGGGAGAACAGCTGGAGAAGACCCTGGGCAGCTGTTAAGGATCAGTTATATGATCTCAAAGCCTCAGTGGCAACTACAGAAAGTGGCTTAGCCCTAGAAGGGTTAGGAGGGCTCAGCAAAGAGAAGGCCTTCCTTCAGCACTCAGGTTCCTCAGAGGTCCAGAGGAGAAAACACATTGATTCACACGGTGAGGCTCACTGTTCTTAACTGTTCTTTTCTTTCAGAGGAAGAAACTTAAATGAGTTGGCTTGGTGCCTTCGTGTGTTCCACCCAGGTGTGCTTGGGCAGCATGTGTGGCTCCTACTCTGTGGCAGATAGAATAAAGTTTTAAGTGTGTTTGGTTTCTTTCCTTCATCATGTGCTTCCCTTGTGATCTGCAGCCCCTGCGAGAGGGAGACCAGAACCAGCAGTTTCTGTAGCTTCAGGCCACTGTTCAGTGGCTCCATCACTGTTGAAGCATTGTGAAAACTGTATTCCCTGGAGAGGATAAAGGCCTTGAGTGTTTTGTTTCTGAATCCCATGACATGCCCCTTCATACAGTTTGAGGCACCTTATGGAGGGAGATCCTCCACGAGGAGTCCTCTAGCCCTAGCATGACCCAGTTGGTGCCTTGAAGCCTACTGTCTCCAAGAGCCGGGTGTGGTGGGGTAGTGGCCCATCTTGAAGACAGCTTTGTAGTCTGCAAGGTGGCAATTGTAATGGTTTACAAGGTTGGCTTGGGCTGGAGAATGAATGTCAAGTCCGTCTGCACACAGCAATGTGTCACATAACTGCATGTGCTTAAAGGCTGTGTAGACTTCTCTGAGTGCTGTTCTGAACACTTTGGTAATTGCCCGCCCTGGGTAATGGCCCCAAGCCTTCCATAAATGCCTCACCTGCCCCTTCAGAACTGGAATGTGGGTGGAAGCATCTATGTAAATAAACAGGTACAGGGTTGGGATTGCCTTCCTAAAGATGTGGGTTATATCAGCACGATTGAACTTAAGAATCCAGCAAAGGATGCTGGGCTTTATCGTATTGGGAATCAGAGTAAGAGTTTTCCTACTTCATCAGAAGCCCCTGCGGCTCTGCCCTATGGGCAGTAGATAGATAACTAAGAACACTAAGAACACTGTATGTAGCTGATTCTCTGCAGCTTGAAGGCTGGGACCATGGCCAGCATTTCATTTCCATCGCCAAACCAACTTCCATGTTTAGTTCCCTCTAATGCCCACCCACCCTGCCCACAGCAGCTATGGAATGACATGTTCTGCCTTATTTTGGTTGAGGTACCTTGCCTAGCTAGGATAGCTCCAGACTAAACCACCTATGGGCTGAGGTCTCTACCTACAGTGACCACAAAATAAAGTTTGTGTCTGCCCTTAGGGTGTTTTTCTTGCTTTGGTTCAGTCTGTAAAGAAAATAGCTGCGTTCCTGAGTGTGCTTTCACCAGGACAATCAGAAAGGTGTAAATTTCTAAGGGCAAATGAGGAAAACTTAAACTGGGCAGAGTTCCAAAGCAGCCTCCAGAAGCACTGCTCCCTTTTAATGGAAAGCAACTCCAGCCAAGCAAAGCTGCAGAAGTCTTTCCCAGCTCTGTTCCCTAAGAATCCTCACCCTGTGAGGTAAGTCTCTCTGTTCTTCCTACATACAGTCACACTATCCTAACCCAGGTGAGTAACTCGCCCCAGGAGGCCAGCCTGGATATTCAAATTCTTCCTTTCCATTCTCTGCACCGGGTTTCAATTTGAGGCTTTGGTTTTAGGATTTTAAAGCAGGCCCTCCCACTCCAGGCAATCCACTACCTCAGTTGGGCTTCCAAAGGTGAGCCACCTTGCTGTCTCAAAATCCACTTAGCGGTTGTCTTAGGCAAACGTTGTCACTTCTAAACGTGTATTAACCAGCTACAAAGTGCTGGGAATTGCTTCCCTTGCACACTCCGACAACTGGACGACCAAATCTAGCAAATAATTGGTTCATCTGTCTTGGCCCCCATACTCTTGTCATCGGTCCCATAAGACTTATACAGTAATAAAGGGATATGAATGCCAAGATTTCCTCCAAAAATCTCTCATCTCTGACACGTGGATTAGTACAGATCAAAAGCAGAGGCCCCTTGTCTCATCCCAGACCCG